ATCATAATAGCATTCCTGCTCATCAACCAGAAGAAACAGTGGGTACCGCTGCTGTGCTGGTACCGGACACCAACTAAGGTACCATCTGAGTCTCTTGAGTGATGAATCCGAAAGTGCTTACAGTCCTTTTTCCCTCAATTTTCTTAATACCTTTTCTATTAGGCAGTGCCATTTTTTATTTTGCTAGTCTTAACGTCAAGTATTTATCAAGCTGTAGCAAGCAAGCATGTAATACTTGCCCAGGACTGAAGACTGGGTAAATTACCTGTCATCCACTGGTTAATGAGTCCTGACTTCTCATGAACCCAACTCCTTGGATGTTGGACTTTTTTTTTAACATGTTTAAATGAGCTGATTGACACCTGCTAGAGCGAGTCCTAGACTCTAATTTTGAAGACAAAAGTTGACCATCTGGTGTTTCTCAGTCACTTTTTGGTCTTTGAATGGGGAGAGAAAAGAAGTCACTAAAGGGAGACGATGGGAGAGGGCGAGAGAGGCAGGCGGGAGGGCGTGAAGAAAGTCTCTGAGACCACACCAGGTCCAGAGGCAGACTTCTCACCGAGGGACAAACACTATGCTTTTGTTCTAATTCAAGGACCTCTTAATCATGCCTGTTTTAAAAGGAAGAAACTTCCAACTGCCCCTCCTGCCCAGTAGTGTTCCCCTTGCATATAAAATTCCTGGCTTGTTTTTTGTTGTTGTTGTTGTTGTTGGTGGTGGTGGTGGTGGTGGTGGTGGTGGTGGTGGTGGTGGTGGTGGTGGTGGTGGTGTGTGTGTGTGTGTGAGAGAGAGAAAGAGAGAGAGAGAGAGAGAGAGAGAGAGATATGCACGGGTACAGCCTTTATGCTGGACACATGGCTGGGTCCTAACCTGGTGCTGGACAAGGGGAGACACCTTCCAAGACTAGGGAAACCCTGTTAAGAGGGTGTGGAGTGACAGGCAGCAGCCAGAAGTGACCCCTTGCGAGGCCATCTTCATGCAGTCTCAGTCACTAGAAATCACTCTGCTTTGAACTCTGCCTGCCTGGTAACATTGCCAGTTTCCAACCCTCTTCAATGCAAGCCTGCAGCCAAGGGTTCGAAACCAGTTCATGTGTCACTTGACCAATGAACATATTTGTGCAGCTGTAATATACCATCATGCCCCGCAGATACTCTGGCCATCGGCATATACTGAAACTATGATGTCACCTGCGTCAGGTCCTGAGTTTCTGTCCATTTTGCGTACGCAAGTAAGCTAAATCTTTGTGGGTTCTTCCTTTTCCCCCTCTCTCTGAACAGCCGTCTTCCTTGAATAGTCAGCTGGTGTCTGTGGACTACAAGAAAGGCACTCGAGTCCAGGCAAAAGACGGCTCCCAGACAATGCTAAGAATCGCTGAACCCGACGCGAGATTCAGTGGCTTCTATAGCATGCAGAAACAGAACCATCTACAGGCAGACAATTTCTACCAAACGGTGTGAGCGCAGGCGGCCGGCGGCGCGGCGGCGTGGATGAGGTTTTGAAAGACAGAGGACGACAAAAGATCTGCTCTTTAAAGAACTAGAATTTGTGCACTTGCTTAGTGGGTTGTATCAGACTGTGACTTGGTGTCCGGCATTAAGGACTTGACTGGGATGGGCTCTGTCTACAGCGTTGCGCAGAACAAGCATTCCCACGTGGCCTCAAGATAACTGGCCACGTGTTTTCATAGAACCAAAGTTTTAAAACTTGCTAAAGTTTATTTGCTTGTAACATAGCTGTAGAGACATTCGGGGGGTGGGGCAGAGAGTTTGGTGGGGGAAAATGGGTTGGGGGGTAGTGTTGGGAAGAAAACTCAGTCAGCTTGGCTCGGGGAGAAAGCCAGGAAAATGAAAACAGTTCATGGCCCAGAGGATTTTTTTTTCCTGTTGCTCTGAAGATGGTGTTGGTCGCTGCACAGCTCGGGCCTGAATGAGCAGGAACACAAAGGGTCTTGCAACCCAGCTGCCGCACCACCAGACAAGCGCGTCAGAACTCTTGATAGCCATCCCAGGTCTAAAGCCACAAGTTTCTCTTCTATACAGTCACAACTGCAGTAGGCAGTGAGGAAGCCAGGGAAATGGACAGCCACATTTCTCGAAAGCGGGTTACTAAGGATATATACAGTTATTCTTTTTGCTGCTTCTGTTTTCTTCCGTGCCAGTCAGCCAGTTCCCAGTAGAGACAGCGGATGGGTGAGGCTAAGGTCACCTCTCAACCCGAGCACTGGGGCTTTCCTTAGCATTGGCAGGAAGGAGCGCGAGGGGGAAGGACACCAGGCATTTCCAGGGGCTGTACTTCATTGTTACTGTTTTCTTCTGTTATAGCGTTGGTTGTTCATAGTCTTGTTGAAGCTCTAGCTTAAGAAGAAACTTTTTTTAAAAAAGACTGTTTGGGATTTTTTTGTTCTTATTATATACTGATTCTACAAAATAGAAACTACTTCATTTTAATTGTATATTATTCAAGCACCTTTGTTGAAGCTCAAAAAAAAGATGCCTCTAAACTTTAGCAATTATAGGAATATTTATGTAACTATCTTATGCTTCAGAAACAAGAGTATTTGTGTGCATGTGTATATAATATATATACATATATATTTATACACATACAATTTATGTTTTCCTGTTGAATGTATTTTTATGAGATTTTAACCAGAACAAAGGCAGATAAACAGGCATTCCATAGCAATGCATCTGATCACTTAGGGTTTTTTTGAATAACACAATCTCATTTATCTGAAAGATGTGAGCACGCATGTGTGCGGCCTTGAGTGCGTGCGTGCGTGAGTGTGTGTGTGTGCGCGTGTGTATACACTTTGAGCAACCAGCATCCCACCTGCTATGGAAAGGAAATCCCTTTATTAAAATCTTCCTCCTCATTTGGATTTCTTTCACTTGGTCTTCAATTCGCTCACTGGCCAGAGACATTGATGGCAATTTTTTATCTGTATCACTAATCAGCTCCTGGATTTTTTTTTCAAACAACCGTTTGAAACAACTACTGGAATATTGTCCACAATAAGCTGGAAGTTTGTTGTACTTTGCCTCAGATATAACTGACTGTATTCTATAGTGTTAACTTTTCAAACAGCTCTTAGCACTTTTATACTAATGGCCCACTTGTGCATTGGTTTGCCTTTTCCAAACGCTTGTTGTGAAAGACACGGATACCCAGTATGCTTAATGTGAAAAGAAAATGTGTTCTGTTTTGTAAAGGAACTTTCAAGTATTGTTGTAAATACTTGGACAGAGGTTGCTGAACTTAAAAAAAATTAATTTATTATTATAATGACCTAATTTATTAATCTGAAGATTAACCATTTTTTGTCTTAGAATATCAAAAAGAAAAAGGTGTTCTAGCTGTTTGCATCAAAGGAAAAAGATTTATTATCAAGGGGCAATATTTTTATCTATTTCCAAAATAAATTTGTTAATGATATGATGTTACTGAAATAGATTTACATCAGCCTGATTAGTATAAAATTTTGTTGACAATTTATCCATTCTTGGCATAAGGAAAAAAAATTATCAGAAAAATTGTAAATGCTTGCTTTTTGTTTTTTCAATCATGGCCATATGAAAATACTAACAGGATATAGGACAAGGTGTAAATTTTTTTATTTTAAAGATATGATTTATCCTGAGTGCTGTATCTATTACTCTTTTACTTTGGTTCCTGTTGTGCTCTTGTAAAAGAAAAACAAATATAATTTCCTGAAGAATAAACCGGGCATATAGCACTTGGAGTGCACCAGACTTCTGTAGTATTGTTTTTGTTTTCAGAAAGCAGAGCTGCGAAGGGATGGCTTACAGCCTGCTTCTTGGCAGCAAATAAACATTAAATCAAAACCATGCACTTCAGAAAGACTTCCGGTCTGGGGTGAAAACACAGTGGTTTCCCAGGGTTGCCTGGTCAGCACACCTGTGGCAGCAGTGAGGAGCAAGGTGTCCCTCAGCAAGTGGCCCTTTCCCTGTGGACTCCTGCAGAAAGCTGTCCTCAGGCCGCACTGCACAGGGCGGCCAGGAGTGCTGAAAGACAGGAAGCCAGCTGCCTGCAGTCAGTCACAATGAAAAAGGCGCTCAGCATCAGAACAAACTGAATACCCCCTTTCCAAAGCTCTGCAAGCACAAGACCTCTTGAGGTTTTACAGTATCTCCACATAAACTGAGATATCTTGAGCATGGGACCTAAACATGAAAAGTGCTTGTATTTTACATGTATGCCTTATAGATGTAGTCCCTGGGTGACTTAAGTAATACTTCGGGTATCATGTTGGTGCTCACAAACTTTCAGATTTTAAAATATTTTTAGATTTAATATTTGGGTACTTAACCCATCAAAAGTAAGTCATCACAGGCTTAGCTTTGGTTTGGTGGGGCATCCTATACAGTTTACTTCTGGAAAAAAGCCTGTTTATAAAACAAAAGAGGGGAACTATTTAAAGAAAACTGTCTTGCTATAGGAAAGCAGGTAAAACTTGAAGCACAATCCAGAATAAGCCATAAGCAGGACAAGGGTTGCAAAACTGACCTTTAGAACTGTTTCTTAAGGCACCTTACAAATTCTGTTCTAATCAATTTCTTAAATTATTAATACTGTATATTCAGCAATTTCATGGGATGTGGTCACGGCATCTTCACTTTCAAGCCAAACCCTGAAGTCCACAGTCTCCTAGTAAATGCCACGTTCCATCAGACTTGAGACTGGGCTACAGCTGGAGTCAGCAGCACCTCACTGACCAGAGTAGGGATGTAGATGTCCAGTGTACTCGAGCCTCTAAGGTAGAGAAGATGCTCAAGGATACTGGCTTCCTCTGGGGGAGGGAGCTGCCCAACAGTGCAGGAGAATGGCTTCCAGGGCCCAGCCGTGCAGTGTCACTCAAAGGTCCCTTCGCCATCCAGGCTACTCAGAGCCTCCCTGCGCATATGCCACGGGTGAATTCTACATAAGTCTAAGAATCAGCACTTGTGAGGGCAAAACCAAACAGAAATTTCAGATTATTAAGTTTGTATTATTTTATTAAATGTCATTGATTTGATTGAAACTGGCAAAAGTGTTCATTAATGTTGTAGCCGTGAGCAGCTTTTTCTAGAAAAGCACACAGGTATAAATAAAACTGAACACAAACATGAGAACAGGCAGTACCATAGTAGCTCCTTAAGCACCTTAGAGGGCATGGACCCCTTCCAAAATACACTTCTTCACAGACACAGAACATCCACTGTCCTAATGATTCCTAGTGGCTCATATGTCAACAACGGCGAAGCAGGCAGAGTGAGAACAGTGTCCAGCACCCACGATTAGGCCCAAGTGGGGGCGGGTCCCGCTTCACCGCACCCCATCTCAGTCTCTGGGCCACACTGGAAGGTGACCGCAGAAGATGCTCTGCACACTCAAGCCTGATTCCCTCCATCACTGGAAACAGCTATGGGCGGGGCGGGCCTGCCAGTGCTTTAGTTCTTCAGTGCAGTTCAGATGGAGTCGGACACTAACAGCCACACTGTCATTACGACACACAACGGCATGCACAGTTCCTCTCTCCTCGGCTCTGCTAACTTAGAAACCAGTCCACCACGGTTATGTTTTCCATAACCTCTCTCCAGAATTCAAGAATGCCATAGCCCTCCCGGTGCTCTAATACGATGGATTAGTGAAGTCGTGATCTGGTAACACTGAATTGCAAATCCAAGTTCAAGTGTGCTGGATGTCCAAAAGCAGGGACTCTGGAGAGTGACACTGTAGGAGGTCACACCTGGCGTCTGCAGAAGGGAAGCAGCTCCACTGTGACGCCGCTCTATGTAGGGCACAGGACTACAATAGAGAAAGAGACAGTTAGGAAATGGATCTTCTGCATACGCCTGGACTAAAACCACAAGGTGTTACATGTAACCCGTATGTACATGAAAAGCAAGAATCTGTAATAGCAGTGTCTTAAAAAGACTTCAGAAGGCTTCCACCAACAATGAGTTCTCTAAGACACACTAATTAGAATTTCCAGACACCTAAGGGCCATGTCTCTTGGGGCACCGTATGAGATGTGAGCCTGTTCCTCCAGCCCCAAGTCCTGTAACAGCACCGGCTCCGGAGAAGCCAGAGGAGGGTATGCGAGTCTGCACTGTGGGCCGGAACCAATGCTGTGGCCTGGGTCTTGGCCACTTTAGGGAAGTCAACACTGGCCAGAGGGTGGTATCAGTGTGAGAAGTTACATTCTCCCAGCAGCGCCCTTTCCATCGTAGGCCAAATTTTCTCCTCTCACCTTTCATTAAAACTAAGGAGTGTATTTACACAGCCACGCACAGGCATCAGCTTCAGACAGTACGAAAGCCAGCTGAGCCTGGAGAAGGAGCTCATTCTCCATTCTGAGCGGCAGGCCCTCCCACACAGGCCCTGTTACTGGTCCCCAGGACTAGCGACAGTGGACAGGCTGGGTAGAGAAGAGCACTGTATTACCCACAAGCCCACGCTGACACCCCCAACCCCTGGAAACTTGCACACTCTGCCCTCCTCCCGTGTTCCAGGCTACAGCGTCGCTGCTGAAGTCTGAGCTCCTGCTGCTCCCAACCCGGGCTTCACAGCATAAAGTGAAGGGCAGCGCATGCAGACAGCAGCTCAGAGCAGGAACAGCGCAGAGGCCACACAGGGCTCAAGGACAGCCAGCGGGAGGGGCTGCCGGGGAAGGAAGACACCCGCCTTCCCAAGGACAGGACTGACAGTAGCGTCCTAGGTTATCAAAGGAAAGTGACACTCCTTTTCTCGCAGCCCTGTCCCAGGGCCGCACCATCTTTCAGACGCCACTGTCTGGCCGTCCTGGCTGTGCCTTCTGGACCCACGTCATTCAAGTCTGAGACGGTCCTGTCTCTCATCTAGGAGAGACCTCAGGGCCATCCAGCCTTCACACCGATGCCAGCACAACACAAAAGCAAGCAAAGGTGTCAGGTTAGTCACTACTAAGGAGAAAAGGCCAGCTATGTGGGCGGGGCTTTTAAAAAGGTGCTGACTCCGCCTTTTCCTCCCACATTAACCCGCCGCAGCTGCTGCTCCATGTCAAGTCTCCACAAATGATCCCCAGGCATCATTCACTGTGAGCCCCCTTCCATTTTTATGAAAATACAGCTGGTTTTGTCTCCTGCTACCTGGAGGAGGAGGACAGAGGAGCAAAGAAAGCAGTAATGAAAGGAGCCTGCTCTCCAGTCCAGTTCCTTCAAGTTTCACGCCGCTTTCAAATCCGTTCCCAAACGCTGCCTTTAAAAATGAGCCCCTGTACAACATTCACTTTTCCTACAGTAATACAGTTCCTCAACTGAGGAGGCGACATTAACCTTTTCTCTCAGCAAATGAGGCCCATATTTTCTAGCTTCTTTCCCTCCGCAATACACACCTCCCCCGTAGTAGACCACGTGCTCTAATATTTACAGCCCGTGTCTCGCCACTGAGAAATCTCCATTTTTCTCCTTCCTTCCCTACCTGAGACTTTGGTCTGTTCTGTGCTCCCCTTGGCACTGTCCACAGGTTTTCCTCCACCATCGCCCTGACAGACGCTGTCCCTTTTCTGTTGTCCTCGAGGTAACAGACACTACACTTCCCAAATCTCCCAGGACCGACTTGACGTGTCTTTTGATTATTTTAAATTTTTATTTAGTTTTTGAGGTAGGGTCTCACTATATGCCCCCTGGCTTTCTAGAACTCTCTATGTAGATCAGGCTGGCCTCAAACTCAGAGATCCACCTTCCTCTGCCTCCCACATCCTGGGATTAGAGGCCTGCACCACCACACCCGGAGCCCTTTTTAATTCTTTTAATTCTCTCCTACTTCCCCCTCCGGTAAGTTCACCACTCAGCTGTGGGGATTCTTTCCAGCCCAAGGTCTCACACAGAAGCTACTCTTTGTCCAGCCCTCCTGTTCCCGGCACACATCAGACGCCTCTCTGCTATACATTAACAGAGCTGTGTGCATTTCCCTCTACCAACACGACGATGTGGTTACTGACATCACAGCTCCCCAGCCAGAAAACTCACCTTTCAGTATATAGTCGGTTAACAAGCTTGGAACTTTCTCACTGTCCTCCTTCATGGCACGCAGAACTGCAAAGTAAGAACAGGACAGTGGCAGTCACTTAAGGTTCAGATCAAACACGGAGTCTGGCATCGCTTGATTTATCTGTCTCGGAATGAGAGACTTTGTACGCACTGCTCACCGTGGAGGAGAGAGAACAGCTGAGGTTAGCCAGCAGCCGAGTGGCTAAGAGGAAGCCACTGGACCTCCTCAGGCTTCCCATCCATATGTCGCTATCAGTATCCTACACGGTACATTGTCATTTCCTTCCGGTAAGCAGCTATCATAAAATTTACAATTAGATGTAATCTAATTAGCAAATCTAATCCTTTGTATTTTGTTTGTCTTGGGAATGGGGTCTCACTCAGTACCCCAGAATGGTTAAGTCTCATAATCTCATGGCAATCCTCCTGCCTCAGTATGCTCTGTGCTGATTACATAAATGAGCCACCATGGCCAGTCATCAATCCCTTCACTTTCTTCTTCCTTTTCTATTTTTTTATGAAATGTGGACATTATTTATTTATTTATTTATTTATTTATTTATTTATTTATTTATTGGCTGGGTGGGTGGGTGTTTTGCTTACTTGTCTATCCGTGTATCGTGTATGTGTTTGGCACTGTGGAGGCCAGAACGGGGCATTGGATTCCCTGGAACTGGAGTTACAGCCATAAGCTACCACGTAGGTGCTAGGCATTGAAGGCAGGTCCTCTGGAAGGGAAGCCAGTGCTCCTAACCACTGAGCCATCTCTCCAGGCCAAGCCAAGCTGATCGTGACTTTCCCCAAACCATATATAATTTATTTGCTACAGGGTAAACTGAGAAAATATTTTTATCCTAATTTTCCATTGCTACCAAGAAAGAGAAAGTAACTTCCAAGAATAGCCCTGAAAATAAAAGAGTGACCGGGTTTCTGTGACCCTTTATAACTAAGATGTGCTTAACAGGGCATCTACTTATTAATCTCACACACCGTTTTCCAACGTAGGGCCACACAGGCAGAGCACCTCTGTCTGCGCTACTCATTAGCACACCTAGTGCTCAGGAAAAGACCTGTCACACTGTTTGTTGAGTGAGTGCACGTTCTGGAAGTCTCACTGCTGACTCTCCCTACAACTAGTGACTCTGATTTTCCCTTCACAAGAAGTCGGGTGTTTACCCTAAAATCTCTAAGTCTGTCCTACTCAGCCACTAAGTCACATAAGAGCCACAAAGCATTTTATTCATTGACAGACAGACATGTTCCCATGTAAGATGATGAAGATTCAAGTTACATGTTTTCTATTAAAAACCTTAGTGTGGACTAGAGAGACAGCTCAGCGGTTAAGAGCTCTGACTGCTCTTCCAGAGGACCCAGGTTCGATTCCCAGCAACCACATGGTGGCTCACACCCATCTGTAATGAGATTTGGTGCCCTCTTCTGGCCTGCAGGTGTACATGCAGGCAGAACACTGTACATAATAAATAAATAAATCTAAAAAAAAAACAACTTAGCTCAGATAATTCAAAGATTAAGGGGAAAAAATTCAGGGGAGGAACACCAGAATCACCATTGCATTTGATATTATAGTTATTTATTCCACTGTCATAAGATTAAAGGACAACATCCATCATTCACCAGCCTACACTGACAAAAATAAACAAAACTAAAATCCAGAAATGAAAACCAAGAGTTTAGGAATCAGCAAAAGTCAAGCGAGTTAGCGTTTAAGTTTGTCTCTGCTCACTTTTTGTTAATATCTGAAGATCCTCGACGGATGGTGGGCCATTCTTTTTCTCATAAGGGATGACTGTCGTCAAATACTGCCAAGTTAAGGGGAGAAAAAAAGCGTCATTTAGGCGGGAATGAGTTTAGCTTCAGAACAGTGCAGTTCCTAGAAGGCCTGCTCTATGATGTGAACAGAGCTGGTTTGGAGATGGGCACACTGGCATAGGCAGCAGTCCCCCAGGTCTGACTTCCAGGTAGGGCTCATTTTGCTCCCCCGTTCCCCCTGCTGAGTGCAAGCCTCGTGTCACCATAAGCGACAACCTCCCTGCGGCTCAGACATGGAGCACTGTTCAGGACGAGATCTCCATTTGCCCGTTTTCAGGGTGGGGCCTCATCTAGCACGCTCCTTGCATGATTTTCAACAAAGCTTCAAAACAGTAATCAACTAACGGCATAGTTTTAACAACACTATACAATTGGTAATTCCCTTTCAGACCATTCTGACTCTGGTTGACTCTGGTCAACACAAATAACGTGACAGTTGGGACACAAGCCAGCTTCGTCTAGACACGAATAACGAAGACTCACTTCCCCGAAAACTTGCTGAAGCATACAGTTAGTATTGAAATGATTAAACAAGTATGCATAAATGACTTTAGGAATTAGAAAGGAGAGACAGAATGGCCTAGAAGGTAAATGAATAATAATCTCCAAATTTGTGTCAAATTGCCCAGCCAGTTCACTCCCTCTGAAGGCTCATGATTATCACACTTGCGTCCAATGAGAAAGGCACCTCATGAAGCATGTTCTAGAAATAACTGTCTAGAATCTTCTATTCTGTAGTTCAGGGCAGCTTGCAAAGGCTCACATAGAAAGTTAGTGCCCTAGCCAGTCCTTGAACTTCTTCAAGCTCGTCCCCCATGGTTGTTCTCAATTCCAGCTCTGTTCCTAATCCCCATGGACTGTGTGAGTCTATAAATAAAACAACTGGGCCTGAGGTCCAGACAGTAGGAAAAAAGAGCTGTTCCGCTTTTGTAAACCGCAGTGTCCCACAACCTTTCTGGACTTCTCCAGGTGAGTCTCAAATGAGGACCAAGTATGTTTCTTTATAAAAATGTTCCCGCCTCAGTCATGGCATGCCTCAAGCACTGTGAAGCATCAGGACTCTATGCCGTGGCTGTAGGCCTACCTCCTCATGAGTCACGTCAGTCTGGAGGCCATTTCTCCTTCTTGCGGAGAATAAAGACTAGAATTCCACCACCCTCACGGAGCCCCTCCCTCAGTTGGAACGTCAGTGCAAGCTGGCCCTCTTTAATAGTAATCCTCTCCCCTCCTGAGTGACACGGAAACCTCCTGTGGGATCACTAGGCATTGGGTTCGTTTGATAAACTGCCTACACGTAAGTTACACAGCCACATCTTCTAATCATGCATGGGAGTGTCTGTCTTCAAATGGGTTTCCAAAGAGTGAATTTCAAACACAGTCACCCATGTTTGCAACCCTCCTTTGAATTATGCAGAACTGTACATACAAACCAAGTCACTAAACACCTGACTGCACAGGCTCACACGTATAGTTCTGCATACATGACACCTTGTTCCTCACTTGGCCGACAACTGAGCTGGCTCACTATATAATACGCCCGATTTCAGGTAAAAGAGGTAAAATCTACTTTCTGCATATTTTTTAACTAAGACTCTCAAAGATACCAACCTCTGGCAACATTCTCCTTAAAATGACATTTTCTTCCTCCCGTTTTTACAAGTATCATGTTCCAGTTCAGTTGTCTTTACAGCCAGCCCTTTCTGCACATGCAATCCATTACGTTGGCATATGGATGCATTTGTTAAAGGTGGGCATGAGAAATGGGCCCTGAAACCTGCTTGAGAGTACAATTAGTCTGTTGTCCAATCTAAAGGATTTTTCCCCAAGGGGGATTCTGTTCATTATCGGGACTACAGATACAATGAATGGTGGTCTTAATGACTTAGTAAAAGTGCCAACTTTCAGGGCCCTCACACAGACAAGGAGCAAGCAGGAGAAGAGGAAAATAAGGATAACGGGGCACCTGCTTCTCTCCGCCTGAGTTTCCAAAGGTGTGGCGGAGGCCATTCTGAATGACGTTTGAGATCCCTTCCATGCTGAAGCGCTAAAGGCAGCAGTATACGGACCAGGAGGAAGAGGACAGAGAAAGAGGTTCAGAGACTTTTAGTAGAAGGTTCCGTGATGACTTTCTGCACCCAACAGACAAGCAGTTAGAAAATGCCACAATTACTCATTCTTACAAAGCAGACAAAAATCATGCTTTTTAGAAACTGTTTGGGCTTCCAGTTCTATGTGAGTCCAATGCAAAAACAACTGTTGGTGGGCCATGACACACACCCACGGAAAACTTTCCCCGTGTAACTAAGAGATTGGTTCCGATTTGTTATAAATGTCAGCTGCACACGCATCTTATGGAAAAGTTTACCACACAATCTTTAAGATACCTTTTGATACCGTTTTACCTACATTTTATTGCAAGACTGACAATTTGATCCTGAGTAACTCCTATTGTGGGCTGAAGTTCCCGTCTTTCCACCATCAGTTTGGGGAAGAGGGACGTTTGGCAGATGAACACGCTGCCACTCAGAGTTGACAGTTCCCACTCACTCTCCAGGCACCTGCCGTTGCCTTGTTGCTGCAAATGTGAATTGGAAGATGGCTTATGTTTCCTGGGGAGCAGAATCGATCCCATTTTACCAGCTGAGCTCCCCAAAACTTTTGCAAAGACTATCCACTCTGTTTTTAGAAAACAATTTCAGCTTATTTCTCCTGGCGCCCTCCAAGACTTCCTAGAATTCACTGTACTCAGATGAGATTTTGTGTTCCTCCCAGTGACTTATCTCGGTTTGTTACAGCCTGCACAGTGGCATGCCTGGTAAAGGGGTCACTGGTACGTACCCACCAGCTGAGTCAAAGGCAGTAAGAGATTCTTGCAGCATGACTAACCAAGGGAAAGGCTCCTGAAAAGGAAGTTGTAGTCTGACTCACCGGATGGTGCCTTTCCCTGGAATTTGAGGGGGAAAGTTGAGCCAGTAAACAATGAAGGAATAAACGTAAAAGATATTTTTCCAGGTCCCAAGGAAACCACAGCACTTGTCTCTGCTCTCATAAAATGTATACAATAGTCCAAGTGATCTCAAAGTGTGGCCCAGGCACAACTTAAGAGACCACTGAACCTCTATTAGAGGTACATGAACTGCAACATCTCAGTATTATCAAGACATAACTTGTCTTTAATTACTGTTGTATAGTCATCATGCATAGTTAGGTTTTATACAATTTCTTTCAAGTATATCAGGAACTCTGGCCACATATGGCACTCCCATTCACTCAGTCTGTCACAGCTTACAGCGTGACGTCCCAAAGGACAGACAGAATGCAGAAGCCGAGACCCGTGTCCTTCAACTCCGCTGCGCATCAACAAAACTGACAAAAGCAAACACCAATGACACTCTTCTAACCAGAAGCTTTAAAGTTACACTGTAGGAAAACTTACCATTTACATAAGAATCAATCGCTTAACTTTGGTACTTTGAATGAATTAATTTTTATTACTTTTAATTTTTAAGACAGTAAATATTGATCAATTCAATATGTATGAAGTAAAGCCCTCTGAGGCCCTCCATAAATATTAAGGGTGTAAAGAAATCCTGGTTACCAAAGAACTAAGAAATACAGAAAGGAATCCCTCAAGGAGGCAGACCACGTGCCTTCTGGCCCAGCCACACCAGTCAAGGGCACTACAGGAACTGAGGGCACCCATCATGGCCTGTGGAAGTTGTTCAGGCGCTTTTCCTTCACCATCCTCCTGTCCGCCTTTTCCAGATCCATACCCACCAACGGTTTTATGTTGGCAAAAATCAATTATGAGGTCAACATACTTCCATGGTCCCTCACTCTGCTGAGAATGTAACTTTTTGTATGGATTTTGGAGACAGGGTTCTCTGGAACTCTGGATATATCCTCACAGAGATCCGCCTGCCTCTCCCTCCTGAGTGCTGGGATTAAAGGTGAGCACCACCACATCTGGCTAATGATTACTTTTGGTGGAAAAGATGGTTTTTACAAGAAAAACTTACAAACAACTAGTTTTGTAGATTCTTCACAGAGGAAGCATCTGAGGGTCCAGAGTCAGCGTGAAAGTAACAGGAACCCATTGTCAAGTCAGCAAGTCAGCCCATGATCTAAGCAGTCTACAGAACACATCCCCTGGAAAGGTACTCGGAAGAATGCCTGCTTTCAGGCTCCATTTTCTATAGAATCACTAACGCTACTCAGAAAACCTCAAGCTAGACAAAGGAGTCAGAACTCACATACAAGAAAACTTAGCTACATTTTCTATTTGGAGAGTACAGACCAAATTGATTAGCTTTATTTTCCCAGTCAAACCCTAATTATGATCACTAAAGAAAAAAAAAGAGAGAGAAGGCCAGTGCATATTCATAAGATGTATATGCAATTTCAATTTCAGATTTCCTTTTTAAATACGAGACGTAAACACCACTGACTATTTCAGTTACAGGGAAGTCAGGGATGATGTTCACACCATCAAAATTGCAATCCGGTAGAAAGAGGTAAAAATGCAAGCCCAGGGAACCAAAGCCAGCAGAAAACACAAGCCACCTACTGATGCTCGCAAAAGACGATCAAGTTCAAGTTTCTCCACAAAACCTCTGCTGTGCCTGGCAGCCCCCTGAGCACTCCCCGCCAGCAGGCAAGCCAGAGAAGCAGTGTCACAGATGGCAAGACTCTATCTATCACGCCTAGCCCCACTTTCAGCTTTATTTTCCCAGTCAAACCCTAATCATGATCACTAAAGAAAAAAGAGAGAGAAATCTAAGTAGACAATCAGTGAAGAGATTCTAGGGATGGAGAAGTGTGTGTGTGTGTGTGTGTGTGTGTGTGTGTGTGTGTGTGTGTGTACAACACAGAACTCAATTAAGAGAGCTGGTTGTTTCTGGTCTCCCTGGAAACAGTCACAGTCCCTCCCCTTTACTCATACCCAGGTCCTTTTCTATTGGTGTTCTCAGTGACAAAACCCTCACCCTACTTTACCCACAGTTACCTTTTTTGAAACTCAAGTCCAAGAACACTTCAGATCCCTGTGAGACTCTCAGGAATTCCTGATCCCCCCCTTTTCTCTGGATTCTTCACACCACATTCTTGAGTATCCAAGTGTGTTAACCCCATTTTGTTTCATGTACCATTTCTAGACACTTTTACCTCTGTCCTTGGTTTTTTTAACTGTTTCACTGTGTGCCTGTGTGTGCCTGTGTGTGTGTGTGTGTGCATGCGCGCACACCCACGAGTATGAGTCTCTAAGGATAGATCTTGCTACACTGTCCTGACTAGCTTCAAACTTCTAGACTCAAGCCATTCTCCTTCTTCAGTCTCTGAGGGATTGGGACCACAGCACATGCCAAAAGCTACTGTGCCCAGCCATTAAAAATATTTTTAATGGAAGATACAGGGAAAGTATCTGAAGACAGATGGGCAGGGGTGAGGGCAGAAAAAGATTAAGTTAATTTTTCATAAATTTTATGGAAACACAGTCAGATGGGATACACTTTATGTCCCTAAAAGCACAGCCTTGTCCTCAGCATATGAGGGCCTAATCAGTGGCCTTAGCCACAAGGCTCTATAGCAATTATGATGCTCAAATATGTGCAAACTTTGACATGAATCCAGGAATCAAATACCAGCCAAAAGTATCTGAAATCGGGGGGGGCACACAAAACAAAACAAAACAAAAAAACTGTAATGTCAACTTGGGTAGGAAAAGGCCATATTCAACATCAGTGTTGGGGTCTTCCTCCAGCTCTGCCGCCTTGCGGTGAGACACCTTGTGGTGGCAGCACTGTTAATCACCTACAGGCCTGCATCTTCACAAGGAGATGATCAAGAGCTGAGCTGTGAAGGACTTCCGCTTTAAATATTCTATGAATATGTGAATTACCTCAACCAAAAGGATACACTGTTTGAAGAAGCAAATTAAATCAAAGCTACACACACACAGATACACATGCACAAACCATCCATTAGACAACCAAAGTGCCACACAAAACCAATAGTGTTCCAGGATAACGGCAGCGCACAGCAGATGGCACGGTCAACGGTCTACTTCCAAGTCCTTGGTCCCTTAGGAGGAAATGAGTAGAGAGACTGGGTCTCCGCATCTCTCCATCGCAGTGATTTCCACAGGGCCTGGGTCATGGGAAGGGCTTGTAAAATTACCAGCCACACTCCAGGTGCTACACCCCTAACACCAGAAGCCAAGAGCCTCTGAGCCTTGGAATTTTTTCACCTTAGAACTTCTTAGAAGAGAGAAAGAAAAACAACCCAAAAGGAAAAGGCCACCTAAGTGTGAAGAGAGAAGGATGGTGTGACAGGACACAAAACCACTGATCAAAGGAGTGAAGGGTGGCGTTCAGAAAGTTTCCAACAAGGGATCTAGCTTAGAAAAGCTACACGGGAATAACAAAGTCAGGCAAGATAATCTCGATAGTATGACCTGTAAAAAGTGCAGCCGCTAGGAACCCAGGCTAGCAAAGGGAAGCAGAAGAAGGTCCAGAAGACAAGAGGTGAGAGAATAGGAGAGCGAGACAAGAGCGGGCTGGAAGAGCGTGGAAAAGAACTCCACAGACAAACGATAGGTTCTGCGCACAACTCTCCATCAGGTAAAAACAAAAGCACATTGTTGGAAAGCAAACTGTATTTTAGAAGCCTAAGACCACAGAGATAAACTAAACTGACTTTTTGAAACTATGGAGCCATCGAGAAATGCTAACTTACAACCTGGAGAGCAGATGCAGTATTGTTAGGTGGTCATGTGCTAACCTGGAGCAGAGGTGAGAATTCTGTCTACATCTGACCGTTATAAGAAAAGGGAGAAAGTGGAGAGAGGGCATAAGGGGCATTATTTCTCTGCTCACCATTTCCCAAGGTGAGGGACCACAGACATGTCAAGGCACTGGCCACTGAGTCTCCAGCCAGTGAATACTGAATGGCAGGATCAATGCTGGAGACCTGCTACACTTTAATTAAAATGACTCATTGAGATGAATGAAATACTAGCAATATCAGGAGTCAATCTTCTATCCCTCT